CTGATATTATGTCTGAAGTATTAGAGAGTCTCTCCATCATGGCTTCTGAGGAGCATTCTAGTTGTACTTCTTCCAACACAGATTTGTTTGTTCTTTTGGCGGTCCCTGGTACTTCTAACGTTTTCATCCAACACCGTAATTCAAATGCATCAATTCTATGGTCTTCTTTACTCTTTGTCCAGCTTTTACATACATGTGAGGTTAATTCTGTGACTTGGGTCATGCATATCTTAGTCCTCAAACTGACATCTTTGCTTTTGCACACTTTAAAGAGATCGTGTGCAGCAGATTTGCCTAATGCAACACATAATTTGATTGCTTCTCTGCTGCTTCCATGAATGTTGATGGTGGATCCAAGCAAAAATGAAGTCTTTGACAACACCTTTTATTTGGATGCTATGCTGTTTATTGTTCCAGTGGTGAGGATGTTTGCTTTTTACATTGAGATGCAACCCATACCAAAGGCAGTGGTCTTTGATTTTCAAGTTTATATTCTCTGCATATCACAGCTGGTTAATAATTGTCCTCCAACGCTGCTGCCACGTTATTCATTATAATCTAGCTTCTTGAATTATTTGCTTAGCATGCAGATTGAATAAATATGGTGAAAAAATACAATCTTCTATCATACTTTTTCTAATTTTAAACCAGTGTTCCCTTGTTCTGTTGGAACAATCGCCTCTTGCTCTCTGCACAGGTTCCAAATGTGTGCTATAAAGTGTTTCAGAATACTCATTCTCCTCAGTGTAGTTTGACATGATCCACGCAATCAAAAGTCTTTGCATAATCAATAAAGCACAGATAAGCATCTTTCTAGTTGTTTCTGCTTTCAGCTAAAATCCATCTGAGATCAGCACTGATGTTCCCTATTCCACGTCCTCTTCTAAATCTGGCTTGAAACTCTGGCAGTTCCCTCTCAATGTATTATTGAAGTCATTTTAAAATTATCTCTAGCAAAATTTTACTTGCATGTGATATTAATGATATTGTCTGATGATTTCCACTTTCGTTTGGGTCACCTCTCTTTGGAATAGGCATAAATATGGATCTCATCCAATCACTTGGCCAGGTTGCTATCTTCCAGATTTTTGGCATAGATGAATGAGTGTTTCCAGTGCTTCTTCAGTTTGTTGAAAGATTTCAACTTTGTATTCCATCAATTCCCGGAGTTTTGTTCCTTGCCAGTTCCTTCAGTGCACCTTGGACTTACTCCTTCAGTACCATTGGCTCTTGATCATATTCTACTGCTTGAAATGGTTGAACATCAACTATTTCTTTATGGTGCAGTGTGTCTGTGTATTCCTTCAATCTTCTTTTGATGATCTCTACATCAATTCATTATTTTGCTAATGGAATCCTTCAATATTTCAAGTCAGGACTTGATTTTTTTCTTTAGTTCCCTCAGCTTTTGAGAAATGCCGAGCGTGTTCTTCCCTTTTGGTTTTCTAAACCCAACCTTTACCCATTTTGTTACAATATTTGAGTTTGTCTTCTCTAGCTGCCCTTTGAAATTTTCTATTCAGCTCTTTCACCTCCTCATTTCTTCAATTTGTCTTATGAACTTTGTGCTGGAGGTCAAGTTTTGGAGTCTTTTCTGACATTTATTTTGGTCTTTTTCTTCTTTCTTTTCTTCTTGATGACCTTTTGCTTTTGTCCTGTATGATATTCTTGATGTCCTTCTACAGCTCTTATGGTCTTCTGCTATTAGTGCTTAATATTCTTGAGAAGATCTCTAAGTTTAAGTTAAATATGTTCAATGTCATATTTTCATTCTCATGGACTTGTTTTAATTTTCTTCAGCTTTAATCTGAACTTGTATATGAGCAGTAGATGGTCTGGTACATAGTCTGCCACTGGACTGGTTTTGACTTATGATAAGGAGCTTTTCCACAGTTGTAGTCAATTTGGTTTTGTATCCCATTTGTTGAGGTCCATGTTTATAGTCATCTTTTATAGTATTTAAAAAAGTATTTTCAATGAACCAGTCATTGGTTTTGCAAAATTCTGTAGACAGTATTGGGTTGCTTTTTTTCTACCAAACTTTGTAACATCATTCACTGGCCATACAAAATTACCAACTTAAAAATTAACTTGCTATATTTGTTGTTGTTGTTGTTGTTAAGTGCCTTCAAGTCGGAGCCGACCCATAGCGACCCTGTACAGGGTTTCCGAGGGTGTAAATCCTTATGGGAGTAGAAAGCCTCATCTTTCTCCCGCGGAGCGGCTGGTAGTTTCGAACCACTGACCTTAAGGTTCGCAGCCC